GTAAAAATTATTTCGATGAATAGCATTATGTTTATAACTAGTCGAAATGATTTAAAAATAAACTTTGGAAGCTCAAGTTTTGTGGCGCATTTGAACTCTTTTACTTGTTTTGTTTTACCTTTGATTATCAAGCTTTAGCTCAAATACAAGTTATATGAAGGGTAGCGGAATAATATGGACAGTTGNAGTATCGAGATTCAGATTGGTCATTAGTCAGACAGTAGATAAAATCATATGCAAGCAGTTTAAATTTTCGGCCCAATAAAGTAGATCAAAATTCTGCTGTGACTCACTTTTATTTTGATGTTGTTGTTTTTTATTCATTAACTTTCAGGTATTCGATGTAAGTACCAAATTACAAATTAAAATGTTTAAGGTATGGAATCAAGCTAATGAAAAGCATATTAGAGTTATTTTAGAATTAAATAAAATGTCTGTTAATTACTGAGCAATTCTGAGTGTTTCAGATGCAAACTTTGAATTCGACAACGAATTAAATTTACGTAGCTAATATAATTAATATAAAGTAACTTCGCTAATATCTTAATTTTTTTTAATCCTTTTTATGTGAATTTCTTCATTTATAATTTAAATGGCAAATATTTTCAAGAATTTTCTACATTATTTTTCTTATTTCTTAAAAATGAAAAGACAACTTATTTTTGAATCAATTTCTGACAGAAGACTGTATTTGCTGATTATGACTTACTTTCTTATCTCCAAACCGTTGCTCTCATTAACTTATGGTAACAACGTTTAGATGAAACAAAAAATAAATTTTAATAACTAAGTGATTTTTCAAAAAAACAATTAAATATAAAGTAAAAGTTATTTAAAAGTTGCATTGAAAAACATTTAAATTTACAACTTTATTTTTTAAAATTATTTCCGGAAATAATTATTGATTACTATTACAGAAAACTTATTTCAATTGAATAAGTTTCAGTTTATTTAAAAATAGTTATTTTTTTTTTAAATATTTCGTTACCTATTTAATAATAAAAATTTATACAAAATGTAAAAACTATATTTTCTTTTTATTATTTTGAATAATCACTGGTACCATTTAGTTATAAATAATACCACATTTTTAAGTGCTGTAAAAATTATTTCGATGAATAGCATTATGTTTATAACTAGTCGAAATGATTTAAAAATAAACTTTGGAAGCTCAAGTTTTGTGGCGCATTTGAACTCTTTTACTTGTTTTGTTTTACCTTTGATTATCAAGCTTTAGCTCAAATACAAGTTATATGAAGGGTAGCGGAATAATATGGACAGTTGTCGATTAAGGACTTCAACACTAATTACATTGCTATTATTTTTATTAGGAAACTATCTAATGGATGTTTGGCTTAAGCAAAATATTTTATGAAGGATAATAATGTGATTAGTTTAGTAATTAAGTTTTAGGGGTAATTTTTATACATTTAATGAAATATTCAGAATATTTTGTTTGAAATAGTGAATTGCTCAATATAGAGTAACTACGGCCTACATTTACATAAAAATGCTCCAATGTTTTTTTTCTTTTTTTTTTCTCTTTTTCCGCCTACTGTATTTACTGCATTAATTACAATCGTCTTTTGGGAGATATCTAATCAAGCAGTTTACTTTGAGAATCCAGGCACCTCTTTACGTCATTTGTCCCCTAATTTTCGGGAATTTTCTTGAGCAAAGAATATAGAGGGGACAACTGTCTCAATATCTTTACAAGAGGGCGTGTACTATATTTCCCTCGTAGTTATTGGAGTAATTCAATCAATGATGTTCTTTGGTAAGAATGATTTGTCATTGCATTGAATTTTATCCAATCGCATTCAAATAGATGTCTCTCTGGCACTGCCGATTATTTTGTTACCCAAAGGATTTATTTATTTTGAATTTTTAAAAAGAATAAGTCATACATTTTTAAATAATATTCTGCAGGAAAGGAAAAAAATCTATCACAGTTAATTTGGCGAATTTCTTTTCTTACTGTTTTGAATTAAAATTGACATTGAAATTTAGGCTACATAGTATGTGATATTTTGAAATTAATGTTCGAATTGTTTTGAACGAAAAATATTATTTAAATAATCCAAGAAAAGTTTAGAATTGTTAAAAAGGCTTGTTTCTTTAAAAATTTTGCTAAATTCGTATACTGATGTTCATTATGAATTTTTACTTTGAAAAAAGTGTTTAAAAATCTGGGATTATGCTCGNTATTTTCCTTGTATGCAAGCTATATTATCAAACACTATATTTTTTCTCCCAATCTTTATTCTTTTTTACTACGTCTACTTTAAAATGCTGAACTTATGACGAAGCATGAAGGGTAGTACAACAGTACTTGAGTAGATGAAGGGTAGTGGAATAATATGGAAATATTTTTTTTTCATGAAAAAAGGAGAAACAGTTCCTAACTTTCAGCCAAAGGAAGCATACAGTTGTCGATTAAGGACTTTAACACTAATTACATTGCTATTATTTTTATTAGGAAACTATCTAATGGATAATGTGATTTAATAATGAAGTTTATTAAAGTTGTAGGGGTCATTTTTATACATTTAATGAAATATTCATAATATTTTGTTTGAAATAGTGAATTGCTCACTATAGAGTGACTACGGCCTACATTTACATAAAAATGCTCCAATGTTTTTTCTTCCAACCTACTGTATTTACTGCATTAATTATAATCGTCTTTTGGGGTACATCTAATCAAGTAGTTTACTCCGAGAATGCAGGCACCTAATTTTCGGGCCGATCGGTGCTTTCTTTTTAGACTCTTGAGCAAAGAATGTCTTGAGGACGAGATCAACTGTCTCAATATCTTTACAAGAAGGCGTGTCTTATATTTCCCTCGTAGTTATTTGTTGGAGCAATTCAATCAATGTTCTTTAATAAGAATGATTTGTCATTGCGCTGAACTTTATCCAATCGCATTCAAATAGATGTCTCTCTGGCATTGCCTATTATTTTGTTACCCAAAAGAATTATCTTGAGTTTTATACTGATGTTCGTATACTGATGTTCATTATGAATTTTTACTTTCAAAAAAATGTTTAAAAATCTGGGATTATGCTCTATTTATATTTAATTTGTTAAACGTTTTAGCTGGTGAAAATTGGTAAAGCTCCATAAATTACATTTTAGTATAAATATTTTTTTAGTTTAAAACTATAAAATAATGTTATTCGAACTATTTAAAAAGTTGCGACGAGGTTGCAATTAATGCAGTTAAGCTATTTTCAGGTATTTGATTTTATTTAATTTTTGTCAACTTAAAATTCTAAAGGACAACTACGCTCTATTTCTTTCCTTTTTGTAAAATGAAAAAAATGCTGGTTATTTTGTCACATGAACAGAATATAATGTGCAGCTCCTAAATTGCTTTGATTTAAAAATAATTCACATTGCTCTATTTTAAATTCAGAGATGAATTTTTTTAAATTTCTAATTTATCTCAATATTCATGATGTTAAATTTTTTCCCCTCTTGTAGAAATTAAAAGATTCTGGTTATATCGTCAAACAGAATGCAATAGGGAACTCCTCAATTCTTTTTATTTAGAAATAATGTGCATTGTAATATTGCAAAACTTTTTTAATTCTCTAAGTTTTCGAAATTATTTTATGCTTATTTGAAATGGGTAAATTTTGTAAAAGAATCTTTTCTGTGTCACTCACTTCTCCTAAAAAAGCATTAAAAAGAACTATATTTTGTAACAAAAATTATTGTTCCTATGATTATTCATTATATTTGATTACACAAACGAAAATGTTTTTGAAGTGTTTTCAACCATTTTGAACTGCCTGATCTCCTTAAGTATAATCACAGAAAGAAAAAAACATAAATACATAAAAAAGGACGAAATATAGTTTTTTTCATCGAGCCTAAACAATAGAGAAATTAACATGTAACTGCCTTTTTGTTTAATATCGTAACAGCTGGAACCGGTTATTTGAAAACATTATTATTATGCGATGCAATGGTTACACACATAAAATTTTTACCTTTTACCGAAGTTTTGGACAAAAAACCCACGTGTCCTGTCCAAACCCAGTTTAGGATGTCCAAAATCCTAACCCTAATTAAAAATGAACAAATACACTTAAAATATTTTTTTAAAATTAGATAATACATTTACTTCACTTACTTCCATTAAAATGCTCTGCAAGTAGCTGGTATGGTATATCAAATGTTTTTCTGTTCGCCTCCTCTTCATATAACAGTCTTTTGAATGCTCGAATTTTAAATAAGGGTAGTTTTATAAAACTGAGCCTTTAGTTCCGAATTATCAATGAAGAGTCAGATTAGCATCTGATTGGTCGAAACGTGAATTGCTTTAAATTTCACGAAATTTTTCTCTATGAAGAATCACTGTTAGTTCATGCAAGCACGATTTCTATATCAAACTGGCATTTTTATCGTGTGATATCCATATTAGAAAACTATTAACAAGGTTTTCAAAATAATCACCATTTGTAGCAACAGCAATAGTAGTTTGAAAACAAAATTAACTCATGGCAAGTATTTCAGTTCAAAAAGGTATGACATCAAACAAAACAAAAAAAAATTCTTTCAGCTAGTGGCGCTATCTATTGGCCATGAAAGTAACTGTCAGGGATAGTTATCGACAATGTCAACCTTCAGCTATGACAAGGTACCCCAACATAGAATAAGAGTTAACACGTTTTATAAACTAGTGGAATTGTATTTTTGTAGTGGTAGACACACTACTGTACTCCCCGATCAGAATTTTATATGTGGTAGAAAATTGACGATGTCAACCTACAACTAGGAACATGTACCCCATCATAGAATCGAGTTAACATGTCTTAGATACTAGTGAATTGGAATTTTATTTTTGTAGTGGTAGGCACAGTACAGTAACTAGTATTAGTGAAATTTGATGAAAATAATTTTTCTGCGGTCTTAAGCAAAACACACGAACCCTAATTTTTTTATGGACCAACCTAATTTATTATAAAATAAGTAAAACTGAGATAACCAGATAAAGAATTAAACACATTTATTGAGAATATGAAGTAAATGACAATGAATAGTATTGAGACAAAAGTCTCAAACTTAAAATTTATAATCAGATTGGAAGACATATTCTTACAAGAACATTAAATGACAAATATATGACTTAAAAAATATATGTCTTATCTAGGAATTTTGCTTTTTTTCATATAAGTCTTTCTTTAGTAGTGGAAAAATTCGATACTTTACTGAAATTATTATACATTGTTTATTTTCTTTTTTTTCACATGCATAGGCCACTTGTCTAAGTCACCTTGTTTACGATATAAGTATGTGATTTAAATATAATATATAGATTTTACACATTCAATGAAATATTTTATCACACCCGTCCAATAATTGAACTTTTAAGTACTGATTGCAGAAGCTCTAAAAAGAATTCTAACAGATACAATTAAAAGATGTTGTAACATATATGAGACTTATTAAAATATTTGTAAATCTGTCATAGCTTAAAATATCATAAATGAGATAAATAAAATGTCAAAAAGAGATTCAATAAATAAATGTCGAATCAAAAATATAACTACAATGGCACAGTAAAATCCATTGATTTAAAACCAATAAAAATATAAACTATTACAAGTTCATGAAACATAGGAAAATGCATCCATGATTGAGACAAATGATATGTCATTTTTATTAGTTCAAAAATAAATATTTTATCTCTTCAGGCACTTCTTTTAATACTATGATTTGATAATTAAAACATACAGAAATTCAATGTAGCATTTATATAAATAAAATCACATTCAGATCAAAAATTTATATTTATCTTGTTCAAGTTTTTGATAGGAAAAAAATAATCACATCCTTTAAACTGGGTCCTTCAAACAGCAAGATTTTTTTAATATTTATTACGTTTAAGTGGAAATAGGTAATTTTTGGCAAAATAAAGTCTAAGACCGTGTCCAATACATTAAACAAAGAGCATATCAATAAAATATATATGTACAATTTACGATGGGATTAAAGTTATACAGGGTACAAGCAGAATAATACAAATTTGTCCATGACAAATTTAACGCACACATAATGTCTTTGCAGATAGAGTAGTAGTTTCAAAAACTGATTTAAGGAATATTTATGAAGAAAAAAAAAGCCAAAATTTTTCACTTTAAGTACTTTTCAATACATTTTAACATAATTAAATGATATTAAATTTAAAATTTATTTTAGATTATACGTTTAGGTGTATTTATTTTAATGAGTTATTTTAAGTGAGCAAGTATAAGACATAATATGTAGGCATGTCATAGTTATTTACAACTCACTATTTTAAATCAAAGTAACACATTTTCACAGACAGTTTTTCTTATAACACATAAAAGCTTTAAAAAAAGTTAAAAAATGAACCAAATATTACAAAGTCAATCATTAAAAAAAACAACAACTTGCACTGTGTTTTAGTGAAACTAATATCAGCAAAAAGCTTTATAGTCTGTAGTTACCCAGAATGTGTAGTCAAATCTTTAAACAAAAAATAACCCACTTTATTTAAGTACTTTTCAAGCACTCAAAAAATATTTTTAAGCACTATATACATAAATTAAATGCAAAATAATTAAATGCAAAATGCATCCATATAGTACACTGAAATGCATTGTCTTTGAATGAATTATGAAAGCGTTTAGTAAAACAATGTAAAAATGACGCTTTTGCATAAAACAAGTTACTGAAGAAAAAAAACTTATTTCTGTGAAGGGAAAATTAAGCACTTTTTAAAAACACTCAATAAAAAAAGTAGCTTTATTGCTTTTAAAAAATGAAAATAAGCACCTTTAAAAAACCCTACGCACCATGTTACCTCTAATTTAGTATTACGGAAGAAAATTTTTTTTTAAGTACACTTAAAAAAAGTTTAATGTCACGGAGCTAAAATATTAATTTTTATCATACACAGTATGGCACATTCAACTGCTATAATTTCTATAGTTATTTACTAGATTTATGTGACACAGTCTGTATTACTCTGATGGCACACTGAAGGTAATATCAACATTCATGTTACTGAAAATGACTATATTACTATGGATGAGAGATGAATAGAAAGGGACTTATAGGCTACTCTCATTCATTTGTTCAATATCGACAACTTGTCCGTTTATGTTACCGTTCAGGTGTCTATGGTCCCGAGATCTCAGCCTTTGATGCCTGAAGTTTTCATAGTGAACTAATCTAGTGACATCAACTAAATCTTGCATATGAGTCCTAAAGAATAAAGAAAACAAAACCTTAGAAAATAATTTAATTTAACATGATATACAAATAAGTTATGTTGTTGCGGTCATAGGCTATTAAGGCAACATGGGTGCGATTGTTTTTGCTATCCAGTGGCGCCATCTACGACCAAGAATTCGACTTCTGACACGCCCTTTCATAGGGCGAACCCATTCATTCAACCACAGATCGTAATTATGACCTGAACAGGGGTGGGTATGAACCAAACTCCTAAAAGTTTCTTGAGTAAATCCATTAATGAAGCATTTCAAAAAATTAATGTCTTTATAAATTTTAATCATTGATATTTTCAAATCATTAAATTCTAAATAAATAATATGCAGCATAATTTAAAGGAATAATTATTTATAAGTTTACGTTTATCTCTAATCACATTTATTATTCTACCAAAAAAAAAATATTTACAAATGAAAGAGACGGCAAGTATAAATTCTCGTTCTAATATTTTTTAATAAAATATACAAGAATTTTTATACATAAATGTGATCGATGATTTCTAGAAACTTCTGGACCTAGGATTTCCGGATCGCGGTTAGCGAAAAATATGGAAATCTGTATCCTTTGTCGGAGTGAGGACATTGAGACCCGGCAGATTTAACGTACACCAGTCGCCATTTATTAAGCGGGGACTCGTCGACCGGCTGGATTCAAACTCCCGTTTTCCTGTACGTGAGTCCAGCGCCCTACCAACCAGACTATCCCAGCCCAAAAATAAGTTACAATACATCTAATACAGTAAAAGCTTAAAGTACAGCACATACTCAGGGGCTACCTAATTCTATACATTTCGCAAAATATTTGATGGAGTGGTTGACAGTTAAAAAGTTAAGATTTCAGAGTTTTTAGAAATTTTGCAAATATTTCAAAAGCCTTAATAATAATAATAAAAAAAGAAAGAGTTGCAACAAAGTGGTGTATTATATAAATCCCAGTGGCAGAATTTTTTCCAGGCTTTCTGCAACAAAACTCTCTAGCACTAATATCTTTCTGTTTAAGAAGACATCACAAAATTTTGTTAGTATGAAAATGTTTAAAATTGGCAGAATAACAGCAAACTAAGTAGAGATATAATCATTCTAATATTCTTAAACATAATTCAAACACATGGTTTAAATTGAAATACAAAATTTGAAATATGATCTACTAAATAGTGCTTTGTTTCAGAACTGCTGCAAGTTCATGTTTTTGTAATATAATGTCACATATTTTTGTTCGATATGCAACAGGGACGAAAGTGAAATTTTTTTTAAAAAAGGTATAACGCCATTTATGGATGGCCCCTCAAAATATAAACTATCTTACACGCGTTGTCAAATTATTCAACAAAAATAAGCACTTTTCAAGCACTCTAATAATATTTTTAAGAATATCATAATTATTCAAGGTTGGAAAGTTTTTGACAATTGACGGTTTTATCTAGTTTTAACAGAATGTCATTAAAAAAAAAATTCTTTTGCCACTGTTTGTGACAATTGTCAAAATTTTTGAATCATGTAAATCGAATGGCATTTTCATAAGCTAGGGTCTGACGACGATGCGTTGAAATACACTGGGGTTGAATTAATTGTGAAAACGTTGAATAGAACAATATGAACAGTGTCTTTCAGCATAATTCGTAGCGAAAATCAACATGGTAAAGGAAAAATCTCACTTAGGAAAAGGGAAAATTAAGCACTTTTTTAAAACACCCAATGAAAAGAGCACCTTTAAGTGCTTCTAAAAAACGAAAATGAGCACTTTTTAAAAGCGCTCACATAAATTTATGTCTTTCATTTACAGTAAGTATTAGATCACTAATATTTTATGAACGAACAGCAGAAAGATGCAACTTTCAATTCGAAGAGAAAAACTTTTTTTGAAAAATAAATTTTTATAACAAGTAACAAGAAACAGCCAATAAATTACTCTCAGGGTATTTAAACTAGAAAGAAAAGGCAGGCTATTAATGGGCAAAAATTAACCTGATAAGCATGAATAACTGTTACAAACTAAAAACAGTAACAAAAACATACTATTGTTTACTAATAATCATTATTTTATACAAGGACACAGCTTCCCAAGATTAGTTTTAAGCTATAATGTTAGGGAAAAAAAACAAATAAATAACGAAAAAATTAGCTGATTCAAATGAAATTCTAAAATGCCTGACAGAAACAAGATTGTATCTGAAATTTTAAACTGTAATGAAGTTGTTAAATCAATTGAACTCACCGAATTAACATATCCCTAAGATCTGGAAACTCGCAGTGAGCTCTGTTTTCAACCTCAACAGTGCCCCACTGTGTTTTTCTACCATAAATTGTGCGTCCATTGATCTGATGCTGGATGTTACTCCCAACAACAGCAAATGGTATCATTTCCTGAAAGAAATTCATTAATAAGAAATTATAATGTTAAAATATTAGGGATTCGTAACAACAATTTGTATGTTTTCCTGAAAAAACTCATTAATAAGTATTATGTATAATTAACGAGTAATTATAATGTTAAATTATTAGGGATTCATTACAACAAATGGTATCATTTCCTGAAACTAAACATCAATAAGTAATGACATGCATTGTTTACCTGATATTAATGATATAGAAGCTATTTCGGGACAATTTTGAACTTTTGAAGAAAAAAAATTATGCTTGTTTTCTGATGTACAAAAAAAATTTTGCCACTCTAAATAAAAATTAAAATTTTCATCTTTGAAAATAAAAAATTATTCTTTTAAGACAAGTATTCATTTGAAAAAAAATTTAGGTTTCTTTCTAGAAAAACAAAGTTCTTAATCTACAAAACTCTTGTCATAGGCTTCTGAGGCTTGGCCTTGACATAGGCTTCTGAGGCTTGGACAATGACATAACAGGAGGAAATTTTATCGCTATATTTGAGAGAAAGATTTTGCCTGGTGGTGTAAATGAAAACAATAACTGGAGAAGGAGATTCAGACAATATAATAAAAAAGATGCTGCTTTTTAAACCAACTGGAACAAGAAAGCGGGGAAGGCTGCATTTAAGATGGGCTGACTCGGTTGGGTCCGATTTTCTTGCAATTAATTAAAAGAATTGGAGATCAAAGATAAATCAGAAGTGATTATGGAGAAATCTTCTGAGGAAGGCATTGGCCCACAATGGGTTGTCTGGCCAACTATGATGATGATGATTCATTTGAAAAATGCAACACTTTTGTGAAAATGCTGTTCTTTTTTTTTTTTTTCAATGCACAATTTTAGTATCAAAGATGTCATAAAAATAATAATAATAAAAAATAATAATGATGTCATAAAAATGTCATAAAAATAAAAAAGAATGAGTTCAAAACTTCAAAATGAGTTCTACAAATACTATATCAGGGTTGGCAAAAAATCAGGTTTTTGGGGGGAAAACAAAAAAAACAGTTTTTTTTGTTTAAACCAGTTTTTTTTGGTTTAAAACAGGTTTTTTTGGTTTAAACCAGGTTGATGTTTTAATAATTCACATTTTTATATCTTTGTGTTTAAATTGTTTTCTTACTTTCCTATATTTACTCATATGATTGTTTAAAAGTAAAGCTTTTTTACATCCAAATACACCACACGAAAATGTCATATTATAAGATTTTTTTTCCAATTAATTTTCCACATCTTTTTTTCCATTAAAATAATGGAGAAATGAAAGGTAAAAAAATTTCCCTTGAATCGCTCACCAATCACTTGGTTTTATTATTCGAATAAGAATCAACCATATCTCTCTGACTACCTACATTGCAGCTTTATAATATTTTTTCAAATATATTATTTTAAATGTATTGATAATCCTATTATTATATTGATAATCCTATTATTGATAATCCTATACTGAAATTTCTTAAATAAAATTTTATAAAACGAACTGGAGTTCTACAGAAGAAGACAAAACGTCCTAGAAAGGTTGTGGTACTTTTTAGTTACATTTGTTATCTTATGCTGCCTATTCAAATATGTATTGACTATATAGCAATTATTACTATTATTTTTTTATTAACAAAATTTCCAAAGCTAGGATGATTGTCATCAGGGGTCTGTCAGATCGACCCCTGATGACATTAAATTTTTTACATATAGCCCTGCATCCTTTCCTTTTATCATTTTTTATTTCATCAAAACATAACCAAATTAAATCTTTTCTTCTACCACCAGATATGGACATTTTTGTTCTGAAATATTAACATTAATCAATTCTACATCTACACAAAACAAAAGTAGGTATGCTGCTGAAATTAGTTGAGTTGTTAGGTTGAAAGTTGAAGTTATTTACAACATCAAACAATTTGAAACATATAATTATAAATAGATAAATAAAAATGCAATTTTAAATTATTCTTAGGGAAAAAACCATTTGGTTTTAACCATGCCAACCCTGTACTATATAGCTAATTTTTTTTATTTTTTTTAAAAAGGGGGGGGGAGTATGAACAGAAGCTTGTACATAACACAAAACTAAATTTGTACTTTACATATCATTTGAAACTTTTTTGTATAACATAACAGCTGATTACACAACTAATAGTTGTAAATAATACTCACTCTTATTTTATTATTTGAAATGATGTCATCTGGTTCCTCTTCGAGTTCAGTTATGGGATAAATATTTATGCCATTCTTTTCAAGATCTGCTTTAATCTGTAATATTATCTTGAAGTTATTATTCCAAAATAAATAGAAAAAAAAGTATAGCTTCATTAAACATAAATAAGTTTAAAAAGAGGCATAGCTTTATAATTAACATTAGATTTCAAATACAATTTACAAAAAAAAACTAAAGTTTATATTAGTAAACAATATGTTATTGTGATGAGAAAACATATTTTCTGTAAAAATAGTTGGATGATGTTATTTATTTATCAGGGTGGCCACTCAAATCAGGTTTCAAATTTCCCTGATTGTTCCAAGTTATCCAGTAAAAATCTTAAAATTTCCAGGTCAGTGTGGTTTTTTTTCGTTGCTAAAGTGTAGTATAGGTACAAGAAAAGTGCTAATATTAGTGTAGTAGTCAATATAATAGTGTAGTATTCCAGTTAAAATGTTATATCATCCTTAATAGATCTGGAGGAAATAAAAATAATATGTTTAGCTTGCAGAAAATAATGCTTTTAATGAATTTTTTTTTTAAAAAATGTTAAATAGTTTGTGCACAAAGTGTACCAAATAGCAATGACCCAAAACAACCTTGAAAAGCATTGTTTAATATATTTTTATTAAGCAAAAGAAAATAATTCCAGGTGATTAGAAACCAAAAAGTTTTTTATATTTATTTACATTTCAATATAGAGCCATTTTATACTGTATTTTATTCAAACAGTGCCCTTTTTAAAATTCATTGAAATAATTTTCTTTAAACCAATATCATAAGTCAAATGCTTAAATAATGTTATTTGTTTCGAATTAGCACTATTATTTTAAGAGATATTCAGTATTTAAGAGATATTCAGCAAAGGAAAAATAGTCAAATTTCTTGTTGCATATTCTATGGAAGAAAAAAAAACTGGATAAAATTCTTTAAATTTTATTCTTTCTCTCTTATTAGAATATATTAAGAAATCCAATTTAACATCTGGTTTCCTAGTTTAGATGATTTAATTATTTTTGTTTCTACATCTGGGCAATTCCATGGTGTCGGAAAAAAAATGAACATTAATTTCTCAGAAAAACTATCTTAAAAAACAAAAGTTTATAATAATCAAATTTTTACATTAAATATTTAGTATATCATAACCTATCAAAAAACAATTTGTTTCATAAAAACTGATTACTATAAATTCAAATTAAATGGATTAAATTGTTGCTGTGGGATGTAAATTGCACGAAAGAAAAAAATTATTACTAATTTACAAATTGTGTAAACTCTGTGAATTTGCTAGTAATTTAAATGTAAACTTGACTGAATTTTGAAGCTGACATTTGAATATAAAATTCTATGCAGTTGCAAGTGAAATATAATACATAATTTATTTGAAATTTTTCTGAATTTTTTGAAATCGGATAGAAATTTAAGTTAATAATAATCATTATAATGACTTAAAATTACTTTAATTTTAATCTTAATACTAAAAATATTAATTTTTAATTAAATAGCTTTTAATTGAAATTGTTTTCTATTTCCCGTTGGAATGGTCGGATTAATATGTTTTATATAATTTTCCATCTTATAAAAATTAGTTGAAAAATCACTCATTTTAACTATGCAATGCATAGAAACAACAATGTAATATATTAACAACAATGTAAAACATTAACATTAATCTAATATATTAACAACAAATATAAATAAAATTCACATTAAAGCAATATTTTTTTAAATTTAATCATTTTAAAAATCATGGAATAAAAAACTTATTTTTTTATTTTTGAAAAAAATATGGGAATTATAAAGTTAAAAATACTAAAACATTTTGAATAATTTTGTTAAAAGAAAAAAATATCCCTGAAGCATCAGAAAAAACTTGAACAATTGATAAAATCAGCATACGGACAAAAAGATTTAAAAAAAAAAAAAACTACTTTTATAAACAGAAGCAAATATCCTAATCCTTTCTTCCTTTCTTCCATATCCACCACATTTTTGCCTTTCCTTAACTGCTAAGTCCCATAATCTTTAAAGAGGTCAAAGATTTCTCCATTCATTTTCTAACATGGAAGAGTTTGAAATGGCATTCTAGTTTAGCAGGGTAATAATGTAGAGAATTTTAATGCAAGAAAAGTATTGCTTAGTTGATGATATTTCAACTTTTTTACGATATATTTACGTCTAAATAAAAGTGGATATAACAGATGGTAAAATAATTTAAATTAAGAGAAAAATTCCAGCTTTTCTCTGAGATTCCCTGATTTTTCTAGGTTTTTATCCAAATTTCCCTGACTTTTCCAGGTTTTTTCAGTATAAAAAAATTCCCTGATAATTCCAGGTGGGTGGTCACCCTGATTTATGCATTCAATAGAAATTATTCCATTAGTATAAGAAAACAGATGTTTTTAAACAAGAGTAAAATACGCTAAAATATTTAATTCTTTTATAATATATAGTACAATATAAAACTTCATTTTAAAATAATAAAAACACTGTCCCTATGAAAGCAAATAAATTAAATGTTTTAGTGAATTACACAAATTTAAATTAGAATAAAATAATTATAACTCAACTGAAGATTCAATATTTAGTTTAAAACATACTTCTGCTTTAAGAAATTGAGCTTTAGTGAATTAAAATTTTATAAATACTAACTATTTACGCTATAAGGCTACAAAAAAAAAAGAAAAAAGAACTAGAAACGAAGCTACAAAGAGTAAACAGATTTACAAAAAAAAGAGGAACTTCTAGTTTTAAAAAAGTGATGATCAGGTTAGGATTGATATCAGATTTTTAATTACCACTTGTTATATTTAATAGCCCTGTGGCCAACGGCATTACTCTATACCTACACACAAAGAAAAGCTTCCTAAACTAAATACTGCTTTTAATAGATTGACATAGTTTCTCAATGTCTTTGAAAATAAAAAAAAGTAAACAAAAAAAATAATAATTATTATATTTATTGTATGTATGTTGAGAAGAATGTATCAAGCAAAAAAAAAAAGTATTAGTTATTTTGAGTACAGGGAAACTAAACTTACTCTTTGCTTAAATGTTATCCTTTCATCAACAGTAAGAGTATCAGCTTTGGCTATAACAGGAACTATATTGACTATTTTATCTAAGCGCTTCATAAATTCAGCATCTAGTGATGTTAAACTAAAAAAAGGTAAACCACTTTAAGACTTATTGAAAGAAAATTTAAGGGAAAAAAGGATAAATGACATAAGTACAAAACACCATTAATACTATGTACACTATGTAATATCGTAACCAAAAAACAAACAATTTCTAATTTTTTTACCAATTTTGGGAACAGATTTATCATACTCAAATAACACAAAAAAGTATACCAATCCCTAGAAGGCCATCACCATTTATCAAAAAGAATTTATTTTTAACAGTTAGAATTTAATCGAAAGAGAAAAACACTGAGTATGAAAGAGTGCCTATATAATATTAATTACTTTCTGAGTATTCTGTCACCATCACTCTGTTATCAGTTACCTGCAAATTTATGTCAAACATCATTATATGTCTTGAATACGCATCATAATATCAACTGAATGAGACGCACTTAACATAATTCATTGAATAATTTGATATGTTAAAAATAGAATACTTAAAATGCCTATGATCCAAACATGGAACATTTAATTTTTAACTAATATTTGACTTACACACATCATTCAAAAATAAAATTTTGAACTTGACGCCTAACAGTGGATTATAATATCCCCTTAAAACAGTGTTTGAAAAAACCCGGGGGAAATTGGGTTTTCTCATTTAGTGCTCATAAACTACTTAATGTGAAAATATTTTTATTTATTAAACACTGCTGTTTAAGCTTAAAAATAGAAATAAATCCAAAAAAGCTTATATAAAATATATATATTAAAATTGAAATAAGTTTAAAGAATGAACTATCACTAATACATGTTTAAATCTTTATTCTTAAATACATAACGTTTCACAATTTTTAACTGAAGCACTATAAAATATAAATGCAACAGTAATATAAAAGGAACAAGTTTATTAATCTTTTTGTTTTAGTTTGTTGTATATATAAATTTATATATATATATATATATATTATAAATTTATATATTATAAATTTATAATCAATAAATCAGTAAAAACTAAAATTTCAACTGATTTTTACCTTTAATAAAATAAAACTGGAATAAATATTTAATGGTCCCTCATGTGTTTATAATACGATTAATAGAAAGTGAAACTAAAATTACGTATAATTATAAAGAGTATTAGTTACTGGTCCTATTTTTCAAATATTTAGCCTTAGAAAAAAATACTGCATTCTTAGATAAATTTTAACTCTATAATTTCAAAAAAAAATTAATCTTAAAATTATAAAAAAACATACATAAAAAGTTTTAGCTTATTTTTTTAAAACCAGAAAATAAAGCTTTAAATTTGTTAATTGTTGTTTAATGTATCACTAAATAGAAAATGTTTTCTCATTTGTTTTCAAAATTTTTAAACAGGATTAAAAGAAACAAAATAAATTATATTCAACTGAAATCTTGAAAATAATATTTAAAAAATCTTTAAAGTAATATTTTAATTTTTAACTGTTTTTTATTGGTGATAAGCTTTCCCCAAATAGTTAAAAATTGTCAGCAGATGTTAAGGGTTAACTTAAAAAAAAGATCCATTTTTTTTATTTATTATTATTATCATACAGCAGATTCAAAGTGTTTACATTTCTCTCTTAGATGGTGATACACTTTTACGAGTTCTGTAGCTTTATCTATTCCTAATCTATTTCGTAGTTTACTCTACACCAAGCCGAAAGTTCTTTCGATAGAGACAGAGAATGCTGGTGCTGAGTGTAAAGAAAAAATAATTAGCAGAAATTTTGAGGAAACTTGGAATTTTTTAAAAAATTTTTTGTCATAATTTTCCACTGTTTTTTGATGAAAACTGTTGAATAACAGTGTCAAGCATCATTGATTTTGGAAAATATTCAGGATCGAAAATTTTGAATGCCATAACATCTGACAGAAATTCTGGATGTTTAGAAAGACAGTTTTTCGCTAATTGCTTTTGTTCATCATTTAAAAATTGTCCCCTTGTTTCGGGATCCAGGATGTATATGCTAATAAATGAGGTGGCTGAACAGCCTGATGGAATTTTTTTACAAAATGTTTATGGGGTTCTAATTCATCACACAATTAATTCATAACAGCTTCTGAAATTAATATGTTTTCAGATTGAAGCTTTTTTAAAGCTTCAGAAACAATTGATATCTGTTTTTCCAAATTGATAGTTTATTGGTAAAGCCCAACATAATTTAATATTTTTTACATATTATTATTAGATTCATTTTGATGTTCCAGAGCAATCTCTTGATATTTATGGTAATTATTGGCAAAAGTTTTTACTCAGTCACAATATGAACTCCATCTAGTATCATTTGGTAAATGAGGCATCAGGCAGTTTTTTTCATTTGCCCATCCATGTGCTTGATGCCCATTTCTAAAATATTTGTCAACTTTAACGATGTGTTTAATGATAGTAGTAGGAAATACTTCTTTTTCAACCAAATTTAAAAAAACCAATTTGTGAAAAAACCCACTAAGTGGGTTTTTTCAAGGTGAGACCACCCAATAAAATCCGGGTGGGTTTTTTCAAAGTGGGCCCACTTGGCGAACCCTGCTTTAAAAGCTTGTAGCTATTGTAATTGTAATATAAAAATTGGATTTTTGATAAATTATAAGGCAGACAAAAAATTAAAAATTTTAAATTTATAAAATTCATAAATTATGGAAACTGAAACAAACTAAATGCAAAAATGCTTCATAATTTAAATTTTAAACATAAGAAAAATAATATTATTCAAACTTTAATTGTTCCTTAAATTCAAACTTAAAGTTCATGTTCTATTTTTGGAACATTGAGAGGTAAACGATTAATTCACATAACATAAAAAATACGATATAAAAAGCAAATAACATTCATTATGCACAATAGTAATCAAAAATACATAAAATTTCATTACAAGTGCAGCAAATGGGGACCACTTATATACCACTTAAGCAATATATTTTAAAGAAAAGATTATGATTTGATGTCAATATTCTGTATTACAACAAGGCCCTTATCTCCCCTTAATATTGACCCCAACTGGACCACTTATTATATTACCGGGTATTAGTGTACTCTATGAAAGGAAATAATTATAGGCCAGATAGTAAAATTATAATTCATAGTATCCTATAGAGCCACAATTTGGCCCTATAGGTTACTATGAATTATAATTTTTTTATTAAAATAAAATTAAAGTAACAAGCACAATCAATTTTTTTTTTTAAATAAATGAAAATTTGCTACGGATTCCAAAATATTAAAATAATTTATAAAAATTCAATCAAAAAGTTATGTATGTGGGCTTTATAGAGGCCCAATGAAAAAATCTGGATATTTTTCATAAAAATCAGGACAACAAATTTTAAAAAAAAAGGTAAACTAATAAGTACAATTTGCTCAAAAAGTATATAAGAATAAAAGTAAATTTTACCAACAAAGAAAAATAAAAGGCAATATTCTTAATTTCAAAATTACCTTTGTTTAGAATAGAAAATTTAATAGTTTCTAGCATAATTTTGTTGATTGTGAACAACTTATAAAAGTTTCAATTCAATACATATGGAATATTACTGTTGCATTGGGGAAAAAAAAAATAACGAAAGTCATCAGTTAGCATTCCCTTATACAATATAGATTAAAATTTGTTAATAATTCAAATTTTCCTTAATCAAATTCTTTAAATAAGGTTTCAATAATATCCAAATATAAACACAGAGAATGTATCATTTCGTATAAAAAAAAAAAAATGAAAATCCCTTAATTCATCAGTTCAAAATTCCATGATATGATTAGTGTATTGCTGATTAGAAATTATTTCTTTTTTAAAATTATGTGGGAGAGGCAAATCAGTAATTGTGAAATTACAAAACACCTGTCAAGATTTTTAACAGCATTTCTGAAAATAATAAACATAAACAGGATCCCTGTTTTTATAATCATAAAAATTTGATAATGTAAATTTGGTTATAAAGTTTCCTTTTCATAGTATGACTGAATACTTTAGCCATGTAAATAATCAATAGATGGTTTCTAGATTGGAACTATTGAATTTTGAATTTCTACAAAAATTATTAATTAAAATATAAAGATTTATCAAAAATCTAACTCTTTCCCAGTAAAATTCAAAAAATTTAAATTTTTTGATATCTTTGTTTAAATGGTTTATTATTTAACTGCCTTTTGTCATTTTAATAATTAATACAATACAACATTAATTAATACAAAAAGATATTTGCTACTTTAATGTGGTTCGATAGCACATATAAATTTTTTGGAACTTATTAATATGATGTCCACTTACGAGTGCCCAGAGGGAGGAATGAAGTATAAACAACAATGAACTCTAGTATCTGGTATGTATTTCTTTCGTGCAACACTCTGCTCTTCATTTAAGTACTTTTCATATTGCTGATTTATATATTCTAAAATGGGTTGCCAACTGAAAAGGAAAGAAAATAAATAGGTATTGTTTTTCTACAATAAACATTTATTTTAACTCTGTACTTAAAAGTGAGTCAATAAAAGGCCTTAAATAGGTAACTATACAAGTAAGCATATAATAAATCATATGAAACAATTTTAGTTTTCATACATAAAAAATAAATACAAAGAAAAAGTAATAAATTAAAATGCTGTATGCACTTATTAATTAGCCTATTTTAAAGTCACCCCCTCGGAATATTAAGATTGAGTCTTAGAACGTGAAGAATCAATCAAAAGTTATTCAGAGATGACCGATTTCTTTTTGCACTCTGTATAATAAATAGAAACAAGCTTAGTGTGTTGTCAATTTCTTGACTTTTGAGAATGAAAAATGATAAATTAATAACATACATACAAACCCTCTAATATTTGATAATTTAATTTTTTAAACTAACAGAATTTTCATAAAATCTTTATCAAAACTTTAGGACATGACAATTCCTTTATTTGCAGTAGTTAACAAAATTTTGTTTATTCTAAATATTAATATTAATGTATAAACTATTAATGCATAAAATATTAATATATTATCTTTGCTACCACTAAAAAAATATTTTCTAAAACCATAGAAATTCTGTAGTAGTTGTGTATGCATATATATTAAATTTTTACACTTTAAAATTTCTAAATAAAATGCTACAGAAACACATTCAAATCATTTCTGAAAAAAAAAATTACGTACATTTAAATATAATAATCAAGACTTTAGGACATGACAATTCCTTTATTTGCCCTTTAATATATCTGTTTGTATCAGTTAACAAAATTTTGTTTATTCTAAATATGAATAAAATAAATGCGAAAGAAATAAGTTAATTTACAAAATATTAATATATTATCTTTGCTACCACTAAAAATATTTTCTGAAATCATAGAAATTCTGCAGTAGTTGAGCATGCATAGATGTTAAATTTTTACACTGTCAAAATTTTAAATAATATATGAAAAAATAATAAAATATAAAATAGTGCTTTTATGTTTAATTAGATATTAATTTATGTTCAATGTTTATTCTCCTAGTACATTTGCGTGGAGTGTTTGCACGCTCCAGCGAATAATATATGGGTATCAAGTGCTGCTGCTAAAAATAAGGTAAAAAATAAATAAATGAAAACATAGAAACCTATTTCATGTGGTAAATGTTTTAAAGCACACTTTACAGCTTTAGTAATAACTGTGATAATTAATAAAATGATTAATAATAATACCAGTTTTCATTATTTATGTGATCTCCGAATCCTGGAGTATCTGTTACAGTTAATCGTAACCGCACACCTTTTTCTTCAAGAACTGTAAAGAGAAATAAAAAAAATTTAGTATTTTTAAATAAATAAACAAATTCAAAGAAAGAAGAAATAAAAGTCTACAACAGTAACAATTAAGATGGAACATGTAAAACTTCTCCATTATTAATAACAAGCCTTACAAAAAACCAAAGAAAAACAAGAAACTTTAATTTAAAAAAAAATGTAAAAATTTTTTGGAATATACCAGACTAATTTTAAAAAGGACATACAAAATATTAAAAAAAATTACGTTGCTTTATCTCAGAAAATATAAGTGATTTGGCAGATAATTTGTTAGCTCAAGGCAGTTGTAAAAAACTTATGTACATGGGAAACCTTTTCTGATTAAACTTCAACTAATGGTTTTATCGACGATCTTCTAATGGGTTTCCTATAAGCAGAGCATAAATAATTGGGCCAAATATGGTGGTCAATAATATTTTCAGTGACATACAAAATGCTTCAGGCCGGTTTCTTCTTTACCACATATGAGCATCAATAAAAACCACATGAGTATATACGCCCAATCAAATAGTTTCACAAATGACCTAACTCACCTGGGCTTACTAACTGTAACTGCATCCACAGCTCGACAATGCTTTAATTTGATATTTATTATTTGAACGTGTTTTCTATGTGCATAATTTGATGTTTGTTATTCAAAATTAAAGGAAAACCAGTCAACAGAACCCCTTGATGCATAGCAAATAAATATTTCTTTCTCTATATCTTTTTTTCAACAATCTCGCAACTATTATTCACGTAAAATGCGTAAAGCAAACGAATCTAATCTTGTGTATTGGGGGATTATTATTTTTTTTATTTTTAAATTAATAGTAATCTATCATGAACAGAAGAATAATTTAATCTGAATTTTTTTCATAAGTTACAATTTATATACTTTTATAAAAGATAAATAATACGGATGATTCCGAATCATGACATGCCTCTCGAACTAGAATTGCCAAGGTGGCGAATAGAGAGTTAATTTTGAGAAATAGTTAAAAATTGATTGATAAAATATTTATTTATTATTGCTAAATGACGTATTGCGTTTACAGAATCAAACGAATTCGTTACACAGATAATTTTATAGTGGATTTTGAACAGTATATGAAATTATATTTATTCATATCAGCAAAATGTTTATATGCAATGTTAGCAACTCGTAACGTAAAGGTTCTGTGCATATAAACTATTGCATTGATCTGTGATTTTAATATAAATAAGTTTCTTTATACAACAATATTCATTCAAAACTATGCATACATGGTATCTGCTACATTTTAGATTCTCAAATCCATGACTTTTCATGAATGATTCTAGAAATTTTTGATTACTTACCGAAGCTACAATTTTTTCCGACAAAAACACAACAATAAATTTAAAAAGAATTATAATGACATTAATTGAAATGATAGGTATAACCAAAACTGTTATACTCTGCATCTTCATATTTATAGATTTTAAATTAAAAAAAATAACAGAGTGAAGAAAGAGCTGAAGCAATAAAATAGCTAGAAAAAATACCTTCTTAAAAGTAAGTGTAACATAAAAAGCCTAAACAAGAATTTTAAATTGATAAAATTAAAAAAAAAAATAATAAAATATAAAAAAAAAATCTGAAATCACAGAAATTTAAAAGATAATTCGCTCTAAATCTATAACATTTAGTAATACACAAAGAGAACGTTTTAAACAATAAAAATTCATAGAAGAATAAAACACTGAATATTACCATGACTAACTGATTTGACTTCAGTTGTTTTGGGGATTTTATACAATCCATTTTCATTGCCTTCAACTTTGACACAAGTTCTGCGACTAACACTTGCTTTAAACAATGTATTGATTAAAGTTGATTTGCCAAGGCCACTTCTACCTGAAATTAAAATTAAATTCAACTTCAAAATATAATGCATAATTATCCTTATAGCAAAAGAGATCAAAATAACATTTTTTCCCCACCCAGTTGATGATTGGAAATTAAGAAATTTAAAAAATGCAGTTTATTTTTCACAAATCAACGAAAACTTACTTTGAAGAGAATGTAAGAGGGGCAAATAAAACTAAGACAGTTTCGCAAAAAAAAATTCTTTAACCCCTTTTTAAAATATAAACAAAATTTACCAATCCAACCAGGGATGATCATTCAAGTACTTGGTACAACTTTCGAAGATTATTTGAGAGAATTTGCAATACATTATTCAAAATTATTATATTGATGAAAGTTGAGGGGGAAGACGCATCGACAATGTCAACATTCATCTATGAAAAGGTACTCTGACATAGAGTCGAGTTAACATGTCTTAAATACTAGTCAATTGTATTTTTGTGGTGGTAGGCGCACTAAACAAAGTAAACTTAATTTTTGTTGAATGGCCACAAACACATGCATACTTGTCAACATTGGAGAAAAAAAACTTACATTTTACTAAGTGACATTTTTTTAGGGTGCGCATACAGTTTTGATATATCATGCATAATCTTTTGAGTCAAAAAGAGAAATGATTTGGCTTTGCATAGGAAATTTTTTATCAAAGTTCTGTTTATAACAGTTACCACAGAAATTACTTTTCATCAAAAGCAAGCTTTCAAGCATTTTATCAGAAAGTGATGAACAATATCCAGAATGATTTTTTTAACTTCAGATAAAATTATCTCGAGTTCACCGAGTTGCGCATTTGTTGTGAGAGCTGTATTAAAATTAGTGTTGTGTGTGCAGGATCCCGGTGTGTGTAAATGAGACTGAGAAGCAACAGTGCGAGGAGGACCATGACAAAATCACAAAAGGCAATTCAATTTTCAATGTGAACCATCCATCAAAGTAGGCATGATCATAGCGCGTTCACAGGTCCCCTATGTGAGGGGAGAGTAGAAATTGACAATGCCAACCTTCATATATTAAGAGGTACCGCAAGAATGAATCCAGTTAACATGCCTTATATACTAGTTAATTGATGTTTAACAATTGTAGTGGTAGTTACGACAAAAATATACTTTTGCAAGTATTTTAATAATAGCAGTTTATTTACCTACCAACAACTATAATATTGAATTCAAATCCTTTCTTGAGAACTTTTTTCCTGATTTGATCTTGTAAAGTGTCGATACCTACATAACCAGAAACATCAGTTTTTAGATTGCCCCATTGTGTTGTTTCTGTTAAAGTATCAGCCATGACAGTTATGAAAGCATTCACACTTAATTGACCTGTAAGAAAAATAATAAATAAATATAGTAATTAATGCCATTCATTCTAAAAAGTAATTGACAACTCAAATTAATTTTAAAAAAAAAAACATTTATAAGAATATTTGTTGTTGTTACTAATTCCCATCTGGTCTGACGGAGTCAGACCAGATAAGAATATTTATAATAGTAATACTGCACTATTCTTTTCCCAAGAATAAAAGAAATGATCAAAACTCTTTTGATTCTATGCATTGTTAAAAAATGGCAGGAATATTTTCATATCGTGATCTAACAGGCCATCTACAATTGCCCAGGAAGAAGGCGCCAAATGGATTTCAAACCTGCATGTTTTAAAAATGATGCTTTGTGATTATTCCATCGACCATTTTCGTGCTTTAGGATTTACAATTACCCATTTTAAAAACACATATTAGAAATCGCTAATAATTTACTAATGTATTCTCACAAAAATTTGAGATACTAACTCACAATATAATTGAAACTACAGTTATATTTTAATAAATACTATTTACCCGTTATAATTGCATACAGTTAAAAATTAAGGGGAAATTTCCATATCATGATCTGTGGCAAAATAATGGTCAAGTCTTGCTATTTCCAGGCAATGGTCCATAAGAAACTAAAAAAAAAAAAAAAAAAAACATTACAGAAAGGGACCAACTTGAAAGATATATCAACTCATAGCCATTCCCGGGCAAACGTCAGCATATTTTCTTTCTTTCTTCTTTTTAATAAAAAATTTGCAAGATTAAAATCCATTTGGCACCTTAGGGATGGTAATTGGGGCAACAGATCATGATATGGAAATATTCCCCAAATTAATAATTTTAAAATATAGAAACTTTCACCTTTTAATAGGTGAAATACTTCTTCTAGAATAGCATTCTGATGTATTCCTTGCTGTTAAAATTCTAGAGCTTATTCTAGCTTTCTTTCACTGTATACGACATAGGACACAGTTGGTTAAGTGATACAATACCATTAATACATTTTCCATGCCAAAGATTTACTTCGAAAATTAATATAATTTGATTTTACATTAATTTATATCTTCACTTAAACATTCATGGTTTCTTATACTTCAAAAACAGAATAGGTTGATCATACAAAGGTAATTGAACCCTTGAACTGTAATTAAAAATATTATTGACAATTTATCAATGTAAAAGAATACTAATATTAAAATGTAGTAACAATAATGTTTATTAAAGGCTTAATTCTTAATTACATTAATGGTATTTGTTAATGCAACAATACTATGGAGAATAATAAATAAAAAAATATGAAAAACCCAATTAAAGCCTGAAGAAACCAAATTAAAGCCTGAAAAAAAAATCAGATAACTCTGGGAAAAAAGATCCAGTAGGTTAGGTTTCTTTTCTAAAAAAAAAAAAAAAACTGGCTTTTTCAACCCTCCCTTAAACAAAAATGAAAAATGCATAATTTGCTTAGTTCTCTAAAAACAAAGAGTATTAAAGAAAACTACATATAAATTATTTGTTAACATTTAATACATTCAGAACAAACCACCAAAAACATAAAATATTTATTCAATTTATATATACATTGCCATAAAATATTTTTGAAATTTATCACTGCAAAGTGAATGGGGATATTTCCATATTGTGATCTGCCGTGCCAACTACAATCACCAAGGTGCCAAATAGATTTTAAATTTGCACATTTAAAAGAGAAAAAAAACACATAGATGTTTCTCTGGGGCTGACTACGAGTTACACCTTTCGAGTTAGTCCCTTTCTGTGATGTTTTTTTAAAGTTTCTACAGGGCCACTACCCGGGAAATGCCAAGACTTGGCAATCATTATGCCACTGATCACAATACTGAAACCTCCTCGAGTGAATTATTATTAAAAACAGTTAAGCATATGAATATCAAGTTTAGTTGTTTATATTTTACTATTGATAAAACTTAACTTATAACAACAAACAAAAAAAATTTAATTATTTCCATTTAGAATTTTTTTAATAACAAATATATGACTTGGTAATAAGACAGAACTATGCAAAAGAAAGAACTACGGCACAGAAATATTTTTCTAAAATAATTCCTATAGCCAAATAAAAAGTACAAAAATAACAATAGAAATAAAAAAAGATTTTAAATGTAACTCTCATAGAGCATTAAATTTACTTTGAAATTTCATAGAATATAGATTATTTGTTTAGATTTAATATTTCCTTACAAACAAGCTTGTTGTTTGCATGTTGCACTTAAATTAAAGCAGCAAATTTAGCATAAATACTGAAATTTATCACAGAAGTTTGAATAATTAATAAAAGCATTGAAACACATGAGCATCAAGCCCAATTGCTTTCATTTTACTTATCAAAAACTGCATTATGATTTCAGAAACTTATCATGAATAACTGCATATAACTTAACTTAAAATTGCACAACTAAAAAACATAAAATTTAGACAATTTCTTTAAAAATAAATATTAATTAATGTAAGGGCGGAATTATGTAAATATATATATATATATATTTTGGCAAAATAACTAAACGAAAGGCGAAAATTCGATTTTACATGTTACTTGACAAAGAATTATTTTTATGAAATAATTTACAAAGCTTATTTATAAAACCCTAAAATATAAAAAAACAACACAATAGAAATATATTACCTTAAATGAAATTCGTAAAAAATTAAAATTTGCTCGATTTAATTCGTACACATTATTTGTTTACATTTAATGTTTCCCTACAAACCAACTAGTATGTGTGTATGTTGTACTAAAAAATATCATCAAATTAAGCATAAAATATTACTGAGATTGATTATTGAATTATTAGTAATTCAGTAACTCACTGAAAAGATATGAATATCAAGCCTAGTTGTTTTGATTTTACTTATCTAGAACTCCATCATGATAAAACTTTATTAAAAACTGCACGTCAAATAGATAACACGAAATTAATTCATTTTATTTTTAGATGAGACAAGTATACTAATAAACATTCATAAAACATTATCTCAAACAAAATGAAACTATTTTAGTTAAATTACTTTGATACGAAATGCGTATTAGAAAGACAATTCGATTTTAGTCATTTGACAAGTAAACATTTCTTTTTATAAAATAATCTCCGCAACCAAACTATAAAAAAAACATTAAAATGAAACTAAAATAATAACTAAACTGCATCTTACTTAAAATTCGAAAAACACTAATAATGCACAGAAAATATTTTAATAAGATGACATGTTATATAAATAACAAAACGAATAACTTATTACAACACGAGCGTAATCATTCAAATCTGAAAAAAGTCAAGCCAAGCCGGCTACGAATTGTCACCAAGAAATAAAATATAGTTGAAATATTAACTAAATAACCAAGATAGTAACCATACTAAAAAATGCACAAAAAACGAAAAAATTTACCAACATAAGAAACAGATTGTGCCTAGTTTCCTTTACTAACTATTTTACGATTTGCCTTGCACTAATTTATTCTATAAAATAACTCTCAAAAGCGATAAGTAGCTGAATGTGGTAATGAGGCAAACGAACCAGTGAATCACACATAAACCGTTACTACTAGACGATAAGATAACCCTCGCGTGTTGTTGTGATGCAGTTTGTTCGCCAGCGTGAAATTATGCAGCCAATATTGAATGATAGAACAGGGAAAGGTGCGGTTTGGCTTTTAATTTTATTTTGTTGCATACGAAATCCGGTTTTATGGCTGGAATCGCTCGAAAATCCCCTAAAATGCGTGTTTTATTAGTAACCAGAAATTTATATCAGTACTTTTTTGAATAAGGGATTTAATAAAAATCTCGAATGAATACGAAAAAAATTCTATGTAGTCACGTTAGTTATTTTATTTACTTTTAGAAACTGGTTTATTCTAATGTAGACATTGTACTTTACTACACTACGCATATTCTGTTACACATATTATTTATTTAAATCAATGTTTCATGAAAGATACACGGAAAAAAGATATAAGAAATATGTAAATTAAGGAGCATTTTTTTTAATTAAACAAATAATTACTTATTTTTACTTAATACAGTATACTCTCGATATATCGAACTTCGTTATCTCGAAAAACCTTGCTATGTCGATTTTTTCTCGAAATGGGAAACGAATTATTTCGGAAAAATTACAGTGTTTGTTTGTTGTAAACCATTTCTTTTTTATTAAATGCATAATTATTTTTGTCTTACTTTTAAAAATAAAATTATCATCGCTGTATTGAGACTTTAAGTCAATTATCATTACATACATTCATTAATAGTTATTCTTATGTTTCATGACTACTTTTTAAGAGTAATATTTTAGAATATTCCTCGGACTGGGCAAGATTGACTCAACCTTTCATCCCTTCAGTGGGTCGATAAAATGAGTACCACGCACGCTTGGGGACTAAACACTGGGAGGGGGGTCCGCGTTCAACTGACCACCAAACCGGAATATCTATTCCTGCACCTAAGGTCAAGAAAATTGAGATGGGCACGGTTGGCCTTGGCCCTCAACGGGCTGTAGAGTTTATTTTAGACTAAATATTTCTACATCTTAGAACATATTGAGTTCTGAACTTGTTATTTCGAAAACTCGATATGTCAAAAAAATATTATCGTCCCTTTAACTTTGAGATATTGAGAGTATAAGGAACTACTTATTTTTTGTTTCATTGCAATTATTGTTTTCGAATTATAAATGTTTTTATAATTCTTTAAATCATTTTTAAGGTTGGTATAGTTTGTCTACGGTAAGAACTCGCCCCCCCCGCCACAATGTCTGAGGCCGTCTGTTGCTACGGAAACAAAAATATCGCATTTCAGAGACAGACCGAAGAAAAAGATTCCCTTTCTCTCGCTGACCAAAACCTGTTCTAAGCAGTGACCCCACACCCCTACTTGAGATAGTTATATCTCGTTACTATAGCACCGCCACGGGTCCAGACGAATGGTTAGGGGAGTTCTTACTCTAGACAAACTGTAGGTAGGTATTTTATTTACGTCGCGCTAGAGATGCATAATGGGCTACTGGCGACGGTCTGGGAAACATCCCTGAGGATCATCCGAAGATATGCCATCACAAACACTGATTAATCTCATTTTCGATGTTTTTATGTTCGAAAAATATAAAAAGCGATGGCAAATGTTCTAAAAATATAAAAAGCTATGGCAAAACTTGATGTTGATTTTAATCAGATTTCGTAAAAGGTAAAGTTTTGCATCCAATTTAAAAAATTAAATAGAATGCATGTTCCCACGATTTGTACCAGTAATACTTCTCTACCTACTTCCGAACTGAAAGGTAAATGCTAGTAATAGGAAGAAAATTTATTTTTAGATTTTTATTCTAAAAATAAATAAAATCTAAAAAAAAGTAATAAATAAATAAATAAATCCATATACATAAAGTGCGTCATATGACTAGCTTTATTTATTTAGCCACAATATATTATATAAATGGCATAAAATATTATATAAATAGCAATTACGAAATTTGTCTGATAATTAAATCAATCCACGGTAACACATTTTTCCTTGAAAATGAATCCTATGTACTTTTAATTATAATTATTTATTTTAATAAATATAGAATCATTATGATTATTTTATAATATTCTGAAAACGACTTCATGTCGCGATTGTTTCGTAAACATTTTCATTATTTTAGAAATGAACCTTGTAATTTTTATTTCATTTCAAGATATTTTTTCAAAAGAATTTACTTACATTATTTTAGTTATTAACAGTATTTTAGTGTTTAAAATTTTTAATTTTAAAAAGTAGCTACTGTTAAAAATGCTGCTGGCTAAGTGTTATAGGAAGATTTCCTAGTTTCACCCTAAATAATTTACTGAAATTGAATTTTGAAACACTTACCTCTGCCAGCCAGTATTTCTGCTTTCTTTAATATTTTCTCTCTTTCCTGATTGGCGAGTGAGATTCCTAAAGCTTTTCTTACAACAGCGATCACATTATTACAGTCAATGTAGCCACTTCCTTCCGGATCTGCTTCCAGGAAACTGTTCTTTAGAACTGAAAATATGAACATTTTGTCAATAAATAGAATAGTTAACTATTTCCACTTTGTAGTATTATTATTTCCATTCCAAAGTAATTATTTCTACATCGTCACTTTGAAAAAAAAATATAATAATTTGAACTTTAAAGTTTTTTCACTTTAACTACAAACGTTTTGATATAATATTAATTTATAGTACATAGGAAAATAATTAACTGTTCTTTAATACGGGTCTTCCTCACTTTAATTAAAAAAAAAAAATAGTTGGATTTTGTTTGTCCCTTTTAAAGTATGAAATAGATGTAAACAAATTATAAGATAAAAACTTTTAAAATAATAAGCCGAAATGGAAAAGCGCTAAAAGCAGCCTTATGCAAACAATTTAAATAAAAAGTTAGCAACCAAAAAAAAAGCAAAACGAAATTTTAAAGATATGTATGTAAGCAAAAAAACAATAACTGGAGAAGAAAATTTAACTTTGAACTGTACAAGATTTATAAACAACCCGTTGTTACTAAATACATAAAAATAAATAGAATGAGTTGGATGGCCCACGTGATTCGAATGAGTGATGACAATACAATAAAAAAGATACTGCTTTTTAGACCCACTGGAACAAGAAAGCGGGTAAGGCCGTGGTTGAGATGGGCTGACTCAGTGGAGTCTGATTTTCTCGCAATTAATGAAAAGAATTGGAGATCAAAGGTGAATCAGAAGTCGTCATGGAGAAATCTTCAGAGGAAGGCATTGGCTCACATTGGGCTGTCTGGCCAA